ATTTATTTTTGATCTATTTATGTTTGCAGTCAAGAATGATAATCTACTACTGGAAATTTACAATGAACCAGGTCCCAGGTCATGCTTGGAGCAGATTTCCTCTATCCCTCACGCCATTGGCCCAGGTGGCACACTTGACCAGAATACCACGACCGGCCTATCACTTGTGGAGAGTTGCCATCACATGCACACAACCGAGCTATGCATCGCCGGACTGTCCCTTGCGAAGGGGCCAAAGGGCGATACTCATGGCCGAGCTGATATTGACCGGTTCATTAGGCTAACCGGTTGTGAGGTATGCCGGCCTCCACCCGTCCTACCTTTATTCTCGGTCACACGAAACCCACTTATCTCGGCTGGTCGGTCAGAAGCGTGCCGGCCCTAACCGCGTCCATAGTCTAGCCCGGGTTGCTCTTAGCTTGGTCATCAGACACTGCTGCGCGCTCGGCCGCGTTATAGCTCTGCCAGACATTGGTTCGTGTTTGGCCGGTCGACCTCTCCGACCGTGCAAGTCAGGCCGCTGGGCCGAGCAAGAGAGGAGTCTGCTCGGCGGCGTGCGGTTCGTCATGATCGGCGTCATCGCAGCTCGGTCGTACTAACGCGCAAATCTCCCCTCTCAATTGCCCCTTAACCCCATCTGACCTAGTCGTGATTGGGGTTACCATCATGACCGAGCTAACGGATGAGTTGCGCCATCACCAAGTCGAGCATGATTAGGGGCATATCTATCGCCGAGCTGTCCCATTTGGTCGGCTATTTCCTCCGCAGTCTCATCAAAGGTCGTACAGCCGTACTGACAGCCGCGTTTCCAGTGCCACGTGGCTTCACGCCATTGGGTCGTGCAGCCAGCTGTTCTACACGCGCAGAATTCAAACGGCACAGCCGTTTGGGGTTCCTTCCCCCCTCTTTTGTATTCCAATGAAGGGCCTACAACCCTTCACTTTTCACCTTCTCTTCCACACAAACCCTAAACCTCTCAAACCTTCGAACCCCCAAGACCACTGCCATTACTGTCTCTGTGCTACATCCTCCATTTCAGATCCTTTCGAAGGCCGCAATCGAGCTCTCGAGGTTGCGTTCACCCTCGCATTTGTCCCCCTGGTAAGTTACACTACCCTCTCTTGCATTTTCTGTTTCTATTTCTCAAAATTTTTTATACATGTTCTTCGTTTCCGTGCCACTGTGCTTTGTGTTTTTTTATTTGTTTGTGACCACCAGTGCCCCCTTTCTTTGCTTAGAACCTGCACACCCTAGGGAAAATGGGAACTTTGAGAATGGAAGGGGCCTTTGAGCCCCCTGTTCCTCCTTGGTTCAAACGAGTTCGCTCCACTTCTGGGATGAACAGTTTAAATCTGGATAGAACCGAGCTAAACGCTCATTTAGATCCATAGGTAGAGCTATAGCCGAGCAAAAACTGGTTTGTGGCTTCTTACCGAGGTCGTAACTGAGCTAAATACTCTAATTAGATTGGTCAATAGGAACGCACTGAGCTGTAACTTGAGGTCTCCACTTCAAAGCCTAACCGAGCTGAATACTCCATTAGATCTGTAAATAGGAATGAACCGAGCTAGGAAATCGACCAAGTAGTCTAGCCACGATAGGGGTCAGGCCGGTAAAACACCAAAAATCCTTCACCGAGCTATTTCTAATAGGAGCCGTGGAATTTATGCCGCGCTAACCCTTGGCCTCATTTTTTAACAATGCAGAACAAACTAGGACCGATCAGTTTAGTCAAGAACCATCACTGGTGGAGCTCAAAGACCGAGCAATAACACCAAACATTTTTGTCCGAGGTACAAGTTAGTTCATCAAATAAAACCGAGATAGATGGGCAAGTACCGATTCATGGTGAGCTCGCCCGGTGCGGTGGCCGAGTTTCGTAGGGAGTACAATATCCCAGATGACGTCGTCTTAGAGCTCGCCAGAAAGGGAGACACCCCTTGGGGGGATCTAGACCGGTGCCCCTTCACCGTCGTATCAATAGTAGGGGGAGGGCTCCGCTTCCCGGTTCAACCATTGATCTGCGAATTTTTGAGGCAGACAAGGCTTTGCCCGACCCAAGTTTCAAATAACACTTACAAAATAATAAACGGGGTCGCCGAGATGAACCGGAGGCTTGGTCAATCTCGGTCTGGCCGAAATTTTCCATCAGTATAGTCTAAGTAGAAATAAGAGTGGGCTTTGCTGGTACCTCAAAGTTAAGAAGGGCCGAGCAAAGCTAATAGAGGGCAACCCGGACAAGGAGACCAACGACGACGACTTCTTGTGGGTGTCCGGTCGCTATGAGGACACCGAGGCACCCATACCGGGATGGTATATTAGAAAGGATTTTGGCAGTGCCGGTGAGTCGCTCGGTTGACCGCGCTATTTTCTCTATGCATCAATTACTTTCCATGCCGATCTAACACTTGTCTTCTTTTTGCAGATAAGCACCTAGCAGCAGACTACTACCAGGCCAACCAAGAGGCCATCAGAGCCCTGCTGTGCCATCCTGCCGAGGAGAGGGAAGCTTCGAAACTGCTCGGCTTCGAACAGACCTACCACTACACCGCGCCGCGCAAGAGGCGGGTTACCGATTTTCTACGTGCGCCAACCCCAGAACTGGATCCAAACCTACCACCGATCAGGCTTATTCCACTCACCGCCGAGCAAGAAATGGTGAAAATCAGGGCCATCAAGTCCATGATCACCGGGGAAGAAGACGAGTCCCAAAAACCAGAGGCAACTGGGGGGACATCCTCCACACCCGTCGGGCAACAAGAAGGGGCAGTACTGGCGCTTGCCAGCGAATCGGCTGGTCGGTCCAAGAAGCGATCGAGGAAGGAGCAAACCGGGCCGCGTCTGGCGGATGAAGACTCTACCGATCGCGTCTCCACCGAGCTCGGGGACCAGACCGAGCAACCACAGACTGGCAAATCCAAGGGCCCAGCCACCCCCCCGGTCTGGGTGCCCGAGTTCAAATACCAGGGCTGAGTAGTTTCTGCTGAAGACTCTGTCTACGCGGACAAGGACTACTCGCTTGGTTTCAATTTGACCAAGGGGTTGATCTTGCCCGCTGATATGAAAAAACACGACGAGCTTTCCGACCTCAAGGTCCTCCGCTCGGCGGCGAAATCTATAGTGCTGGTAAGTTCTCCATTCTTTGCGTCAAACTGTTTGCTCGGTTTTTGCTCGGTTTCTCGAATACTCACGATCTCTCGCTTGTTTTCAGGCCGCGTAAAAGAACTATTTGGCCCACGACCGAATGATCAAAGTGCGGCAGAGCCTGCGAGATGCAATAGCTGAGAACAAGGCCCAAAAGGCCGAGATAGCGAAGCTTAAGGCCGCGCAGGAAGCGGTTGAGGCCGAACGAGATAACCTGAGCCAAAAGGTCGACTGAGCTGAAACGGACAAACAGCGGGCCGTGAAGTCGACCAAAGCCCGGTATCTCGCCGAGCTGAGGAAGCTATGCGGTGCCCATAAAGAGGAGAAAGATAAGGCGGTCAGCGACGCCGAAGACAAGGGCTATGCTCAAGGCGAAAGAACGTATGAACGACAGGTGCAGGCAACCAAGGACATCTTTTTCCAGTGCGGTTGGAAAGCCGCCGTGGAGAAAGTTGGCCTTGGTCAGGATGCTGACATGTTCCTACATTTGCCTGCGGCCTTTATACCGCACTATATGCAGGACTATGCGAGCGCCGCGTAGAAGAGGCTCATAGAAGAGGCCAAAAAGGAAACCGCGGAAGAAGCCGCCGCCGTGCAACAAACCAAGCAAACTTCTCCTGAAGCGTCTCAGGATGCTGAAGATCAAGTAGCCGATCGGGAGGTTGTCGCGGTGGAGGACACAGATGATGGGTTGGAAGAAGGCCTGCCCGAGCATAGCCCGGAGGTGGCCGAGCAGACTCTGGAGGTCGCCGAGCAGACGGTTGATCTGGAGTTGGACTGAAATGCCTCCTATTTCCTGCTTTATTTTTGTCTCTTGTCTTTCTTTGTTTAATGTAACCAGGCTAGGGCCCCACCATTGTAACACAATTTCGTTAATCAATGAAATTTGAACTTTTTGCCCGTTTAACTTCTATTGCTTTTTGGCTTCGACGTGCAAAATTTCCATAAACACGTTCAAACTTCAACTAGCAGCTCGGCTCCTTTGGAATTTCAAATGCACCTTTTAAAATGCCGAGCAAAATATGCTCGGCTCGAAATTAAGGGCTCATGAATGCGGCCGAGCAAAATCAGCTCGGCCTTGACGGGTTTTCAAACTTTATAAAATTCCAGTACTTTAATGTGACCGAGCAAAAACCAGCTCGCCCTTTCAGTTGGGTAGATCGCCAACATTTCTTTTCCGCCGAGCAAAGTCAGCTCGGCTTTTTATCGGTTGGACAAAACTCCAACATTGCGAATCCTACCGAGCAAACTCCGCTCGTTTTTCATATTGGACAAGACACCAATATGCCAACCGGGCCGAGCAACATCAGCTCGGCCCTTACATTGGGCAAAACACCAATGTTTCAGTTAAGTTGGTCATGATGCCAACATTTCAACCGGGTGAGCAAAACCAGCTTGGCCCTAATGCGAATTGGTCCATACGCCAATTATATCGTTGGACAATGCACCAACTCTTTGTGCGGTCTGCTTCCATTCCGACGAGTGGAAATCAGTCCGGTCCCATTCAGGTCGGTCTCCTTGCCCCTGGCATCCATAATTGCCTTACGTCCTTGCGAATTCATTGTACAAAGATGTAATACCAAACAACAAGAGGGCTATTTTTCATTACAAAAGCATTGCTATCTTTTACATTAAGTGCCAAAAGGCTAAAGGTCTAGAAAAGCTAAACAACACAAGCAAATTACATCTTAAAAGTAAAAGACCTTAAGGTTGGCCGTATTCCATGGTCTGGGGACAGCCTTGCCATCTAAATCTTCCAGATGGTATGCCCCTTTACCAGCAAGAGCAATCACCTTGTATGGTCCTTCCCAATTTGCACCGAGCTTTCCTTCGCCAGGGACCATTTTTAGGTATATCTAGGTTCTTAATACCCAGTCCCCAATCTTGAACAGCCTGGGGTGCACAGCCTTGTTGTACTTTTTGGAGAGTTCTTGTTGATAGGCCGCTATGTGGATCAATGCTCGCTTCCTCTTTTCTTCAGCAAGGTCCAACTCCAACGCCACCGCTTCATTATTCAGATCTAGCTGGAAACTTTCAGAGCGGATGGTTGGCATGCCAATTTCCAATGGGATGACGGCCTCCATGCCATAGGCCAAAGCAAATGGTGTTTCTCCGGTTGACCGCCTTGGCGTAGTGCGGTATGCCCAGAGCACATTAGGGAGTTCTTCAGCCCACTTGCCTTTAGCCTTCTCAAGCCGCTTCTTCAGCCCGTCCAGGATGGTCTTGTTTGAGGCCTCTGCTTGACCATTTGACTGAGGATAGGCCGGTGTCGAATTGTAGAACTCGATCTTCAACTTTTCGCAAAATTCGCGAAAGAGTTTACCATCAAATTGAGTGCCATTATCTGAGATGAGGGCCTTGGGTATATTGAAATGGGTGATGACGTTTTGCCATACAAACTTCTTCACGTCCTTTTCCCTTATGGTCGCTAGTGGCTCGGCCTCAACCCACTTGGTGAAATAGTTAGTGGCAGCGATGAAGAACTTGCGGTTGGTCGGTGCAGCTGGGAGTGGCCCAACAATATCCAACCCCCAAAGCGCGAACGGCCAAGGACTTGTGAGGGGGAGCAAATCTCTAGCCTGCTGGTGGATCTGATGGGCGAACTTCTGACACTTCTCGCACCTGCGAACATATTTTTGCTCGTCTGCCTACATGCGCGGCCACCAATAACCGTGAGAAATTGCTCGGTAAGCCAAGGATCTGCCCCAAGTATGGCTGCCACAAATACCCTCATGTATCTCATAGAGGAAAGCCTCCACCTTGGTGGGGTGGACACATTTCAAATACGGGTCTGTGAAAGATTTCTTGTACAAGGCCCCGGATAGGGAGAGCCAAAACCGCTCTGACTTTGCCCGGATCTTGTGTGCCGCCTTCTTTTCTTCTGGTAGAATTCTATTTTTTAGGAAGGCGATGATAGGATCCATCCAAGAAGGGCCCAAGTCGGTGCAGAGTGCCTCGGCTGATTCTGGTTTCTCAATGCTTGGCCGGGGTAAAAATTCTATCATCAAGGGGTTAGGAAAAGCTGTCTGAGCAGAAGCAAGTCCGGCCAATTCATCAGCTGTGCTATTTTCCTCGCGGTCGATTTGTTCCAACCTTATTGCAGCGAACTTCTTGATCTTTGCGCATACTAGCGCCTGATACTTGGCCATTCTTTCGTCCTTTGCCTCATACTCCCCTAAGACCTGATTGACCACCAACTTGGAATCACTAAATACCATGAGGGCTGTGGCTTTCATTCTCAGCGCGCTTCTTAGTCCGACAAGGAGAGCTTCATACTCAGCCTCGTTGTTGGATGTTGGGAAGCCGAGTGTAATTGCCTGCTCGATGATCAGCCCGTCCGGTGAGTTCAGCACGATGCCCAGCCCGGCCCCATGTCGGTTGGACGCCCCATCAACGAAGAGCTTCCATATTTCGCCAATAAACAGCTTCCAGCAATCAGAGGGGTTCTGGGAGCTTCTCATTTCCAAGTCTCTGATCGGTTCATTCTGGTCCCTTTCCTTGTCTTGGTTGGGTTCATCATCGTCGGACTTTGTTAGTCCGGTCGTGCTCGTCCCTTTTCCTACTTGCGAACCAACACTCGTTTCTGTTGCCAGAACCATGGGTTGTGCTAAATCCGCACCAACCAAATCAACCGGGCATACTGGATGCATCCCAGGGGCAAATTCCGCCACAAAGTCGGCAAGTGCTTGAGCCTTGATTGCGGTGCGCGGTCGGAACTTGATGTCATATTGTCCTAATTCCAGTGAGACAAACAAAATTCTCCCAGTGAAGTCTGCCTTTTCAAAAAGCACTTTAAGCGGGAACTCGGTTAACACAACTATCGTATGGGCATGAAAATAGTGTGCCAGCTTTCTTGACGCCATCATTAGGGCCAGCGCCAATTTTTCCAAGAGAAGATACCTCGTTTCGGCTGGGAGAAGAGTCTTGCTTACATAGAAGATCGGTAGGTGCTGGATGCCTTCAGCACGCACCAATACTGCGCTGACTACGTGTTGAGAGACAGCCAAGTAGAGGTACAACTCCTCGCCTGGCTGAGGTGTGACCAAAATAGGGGCTGAAGAGAGATATGCTTTCAGGTCTACTAGTGCGCGGTCGCACTTGTCATCCCAGAAGAACTTGGACTTCAGAGTTTTAAAGAAGGGCCTGCAACGATCAGAAGACCGGCTGATAAATCTGTTCAACGCGGCTGCCATCCCGGCAAGATGTTGCACGTCCTTCGTGGAGTTGGGATGCTCCAGGTCTTGTATGGCCTTGATCTGTGATGGGTCAGCTTCAATCCCTCGATTTGTGACCAGAAAACCCAGAAACTTTTCGGTGCCAACTCTGAAAGCGCACTTTGTGGCGTTCAAGCAAAGCTTGTGGAGCTTAAGTATGGCGAACATCTCTGCACGGTCGGCGAGGTGTTGAGACTTCTCCTTACTCTTCACCACCATGTCGTCGATATAGGCCTCCATTGTTCGGCCCAGAAGAGGAGCCAACATCTTCGTTACCATCCTCTGAAAAGTCGCCCCGGCGTTCTTTAGTCCGAACGGTATGACTTTGTAACAATATAAGCCTCTGGGGGTTGTGAACGACGTGATCTCTCTGTCCGGTTTATACATGGTTATCTGGTGGTAGCCGCGATATGCGTCCAGGAAGCTAAACCTCTGATGGCTAGCGGTTAAGTCCACCAGCTGGTCAATTCGTGGGAGGGGAAAGCTATCCTTGGGGCAAGCTCGGTTGACAGTCTTGTAGTCAACGCAGACTCGCCACTTGCCGTTTTTCTTCGGAACAACCACCGTGTTGGATATCCACCGAGGGTACTGCACCTCTTCTATGGCCCCAGCTTCTAACAAATTCTTTACTTCTTCTGCGATCACTTCAGCATGGTGCAAGGCTGAGCGGCACGTCCTTTGAATGACTGGCCGTGCATTAGGGAAGACATTCAACTGATGACAAATGAAACTCGGGTCGATGCCAGGCATGTCGTAAGGCGTCCAGGCAAAGGCCTCCAGATTGGAAACCAAGAAGTTGACATAAACCATCCGCTCGGCGCTAGACAAGGATGATCCCAAGAGGAAGAATTTAGTTGGATCGTTCTCGTCAATGCGCACTTCTACCAAATCTTCGGCCGACTTTTCCTCGGCCTTTCTTCCTACGTCTTCAAGGACCTCTTTACCCTCGGGCCCTTCAATCATTTGGATGAACCCTTTGGCCACTCGGCTGCCATTTACCGCAACGAAGCATTGTTTCGCCATCACCTGGTCCCCCCCAAACTTCCTCTATTTGTCCGCTTGGTGCCGGAAAGCGCATGACTTGGTGGAAGGTCGAAGCAACTTCTTGCATGGCGTGCAGCCAACCCCTGCCTAAGATCAAGTTGTAAGTTGATGGAACTTTAAGCACCCAGAACTCTACTTGCTTTACAACCGATCCCGCTTTCACTGGCAAAATAATCTTTCCGATTGGCCATTCTGGCTGTGAGTTGAAGCTGACCAAAGGGGACGTTGCGGGGGCCAAGTCCTTGTCTTTCAACTTCATTTGTTTAAACGTGTCATAGTACATAATTTCTACCGAACTCCCCTGGTCGATCAAGATTCTCTTGATGTCAATGTCTTTGACGCGAAGAGTGACTACTAAAGCATCATTATGTGGCATCTGAACTCTTTCCAAGTCCATGGTTGAGAATGAAAGGATGTCCTTTTCTTCGGTCTTTCCTTTATTCACAGCGGGCTGAACAGAGAGCACTTCCCTCATGTGCTCGGCCTTCTTGATCATCCCTCTCAGCTCGCAAACCCTGGCTGGTTCAATGATACCGTGGATGACGTTGATTACACCTGCGGGGGCGCTTCTAGGGCGGCCAGGCTGTTTGGCTCGGCTTGGTCCGCTGGCGTGGCCTTGATGCGCCCATATATGTATTGGTCAAGATGCCTCGCCGCCACCAACTTCTCTAAGTGTTGTTTGAGCGGCAAGCAGTCCTCTGTGCAGTGCCCCCATTCTTCATGAAAGGTGCAGCGATATTTTGAATTGAAGCCTCTCTGCGTACTCCTCAACTTGACCGGCCAACGGACGAAGGGTTCACCTCGAATCTCGCTCAAAATGCGGTAGATGGGGATTTTAAATACCGTGGTGATCCCAGTCCATCTTCAATTTTCTTTTGGCATCCTCTGCTGCATCATGGGGAGGGTCAGCCCGGTCGTTTCGGCGGCCCTTGTTTCTGTCATCACGGTTTGAACCATGGCGCTGGTCTTTCGACCGGTTGTTTGGGCGGTTATCCTCTTGCCCAACCGAGTGAACTTTCCCCGCAACCCTTCTGTCCGGGAGCCTTTCAAACCATTTAAAACCTAGCTCTTCCAAGCTTGCTGGGAATATGAAGCACATCAAGGCGTCATTCCGCCGGTGTCCAGCCATTACTTGCCGGTAATGGCTCACATGCATGTATGGATCCGTCTTGCCGTCGTACAAAGTGAACTTTGGCTGGTGGAATCCGGCGGGGAGTGACATACTCTCAATCTCTAGAGACAGCTGCGTGGCTGTAAGTCGCGCCAGCTCTTTGTCCACCAGCGCAGGGACCATCACTTTGGGGGCTGGCATCGCCATTTCCTCACTGTAACGAACTGAAGCACTTAACCTCTGCAATGCCGGCACTCTCCGAGCCTCCTGACGGCGCGCCCTCTCCTCCAATACATCCCTCAAGTCCCTGGAACGTGTGGAGAAAGAGGATCCCGACGTTGGCGTCGGGCGTGAGGGGCGGTAGGTGCTGTCGCGAGAGAGGGACCTACCTTTTCCTTGGTCGGAACCTCCAACCCCATAGTTCCTGGTGATGGAGAGAGAGTGAGTCCTTCCCTGGCGGCGACTGCTACAACGAGGGGACGGGGTGCGCTCACTGAGGTTGCCCTCTCCAGCAACACCCTTCCCTTTAATTTGGCGTTTCAGTAGCTCTATCTCCGCCGCCATCTTGCGAATGACGGCGTCTTGGTCCTTTAGTTTGTGCTCCAGGCGCTGCACATGGGACTCCCCCCGGCGTCGGCGGCCCTCATGACTCTGCAAGCGATCAGTACTCCTCCTGCGTTTGTCTCGCGCACTTCGTGAAGGAGTCTCTAGGCCCGCCATGGCTGGAATATTCGGAGGACCTTCTCTCAAGCGGACATACTCAGGTGTGACACCATCGACGACGGACAGTGGGGCTTCGCCGTTGTTGGCCATGGAAATGGTCGAAGAAGCTCCAAGAACAAGGGTTGAGTATCAAAAAACTTCCCACAGACGGCGCCAATTGTACGGGGGCGAAATATCCTCTGCTTTCCGTACTCCTTGTACTCCAAGCTTCTCTTGGCGGCGTCTATCTGGTAACACAAAAAAGGTGAGCTGCCCGACGGTGGTGTGCCGGAAAGACCCTCTGACGATCAAGTCAGTCCACTTGAGGAAAGAGAAGACAGATAGAGAGAGAGTGTGTTTTCTTTGGGAAAGAAGTTGCATACCTCTAACGTTCGTCCTCCTCCATATTTCAAGGCTGGCCATGCAACCTCAAGATTATGCACGCACTACCTCTGCTGTCCTTCCCAAGATAGGTGGCAGTGCTCGCCTCTCACCACCTTAAGCGTGTAAAGGCTTAGTCCTCCCACCAGTACATGTAGAACTGTCCAACGGTATTGGCGCATGCTTGGAGCAGATTTCCTCTATCCCTCACGCCATTGGCCCAGGTGGCACACTTGACCAGAATACCACAACCGGCCTATCACTTGTGGAGAGTTGCCATCACATGCACACAACCGAGCTATGCATCGCCGGACTGTCCCTTGCGAAGGGGCCAAAGGGCGATACTCATGGCCGAGCTAATATTGACCGGTTCATTAGGCTAACCGGTTGTGAGGTATGCCGGCCTCCACCCGTCCTACCTTTATTCTCGGTCACACGAAGCCCACTTATCTCGGCTGGTCGGTCAGAAGCGTGCCGGCCCTAACTGCGTCCATAGTCTAGCCCGGGTTGCTCTTAGCTTGGTCATCAGACACTGCTGCACGCTCGGCCGCGTTATAGCTCGGCCAGGCATTGGTTCGTGTCTGGCCGGTCAACCTCTCCGACCGTGCAAGTCAGGCCGCTGGGCCGAGTAAGAGAGGAGTCTGCTCGGCGGCGTACGGTTCGTCATGATCGGCGTTATCGTAGCTCGGCCCTACTAACGCGCAAATTTCCCCTCTCAGTTTTATCAAGGGAACACTTCCTGTTACAGAACTCCAATTCTTCACGAAGAAGAGCATGAGAGGTTTCAAATGAACCCAAACTAGACATATAAAGAGACTAAAACTAAGAATAACTATAGAGGGCAATGTGGCTCTTCTAGGCCTTTTGTTCACAGAGAGGCCATATAAGGGAAATCACACTACAACCCAACTTTTGAACTAAGTAATGAAGAAAGAAACAAATCAATACATTGGGGGAAAAACTGGCCTTTAGGGTATGAAGAACCATCGATAGACCAGGCATATGGCAAGGGGCAGTTTAGGACCCCAAGATATAAGGAACCTACCATCGATAGACCAAGACTAGGAAATTATAACTTTGCTGACCAAAGGTTCAGACAACCAAACTATGAGAACCCTAGGCCATGGGTTAACCAAAGGCCTCGACAGTAGAACTATTAGGAACAAGGCTTCAGGAATCATGAGCGTTAGTATTCAAAGCCAAGGCCAAGAGGGCCTGGGCCACGCCCTCAACATTTTAAAGAGGGAGGTTATGGTTATTAACCTCCTCAACATTAGTACTTTCAACCTTATGAGGGGTTTGTTGCCCTAAATCCCCAACCACAAATAAATGAAGGAATGGGATATGGTGCCTACAATGAGGAACCAAACCTTGACTCTGCACAGATTAATAGGCATCAAATAATAGAGGTAATTTAAGAGATGTATAGCGTAGGCCTAAGGAGGCTTAATAGGCTAATGTTTAGAAAACCATACCCTTATAGGGTGGATCAAACCCCCGTCCCTAGAAATTTAAAATGCCTGAATTTTCCTTATTTACAGTAGAAGAGAGGCAGTCTACCATAGAGCATATAGGGACGTTTACCCTGCAATGTGAAGAGACTAATTTAGACAACTTAAAACTTAAAGGTAGCGTTTGGTTTAGTGTTAGAATTATGATTTGAGTGTAGAGTTGCGTTTTGAGTTTATGAGTTTTGGAATTATGATTTGAAAAAAGAAAATTTGTTTGGTTATGAGTTTTGAAAAGAGTTTTGAATTGAATTTTAAATTTTTGAAATGAGTTTTGAAATAAGACAAGTTGTTTGGTTATGAGTTTTGAAAATAGTTTTTTAAACTTAATTGAAAAACTTATAACTCATAACCAAACATAGAACTCAAAACTCTTTTTCAAATTCAATTCAAAAAAATAAATACTGAAAAAATAAGTTTTTTATTTAAAAAATTCAAAAAATTCTGAAAATATTTTTTATTTAAAATATTAAAAAATATATATTATTTTTTGTTAAAAAAAATATTCAGGTAGTGCTTTAAAATTACTTTTGATTGTATATTTGATTGGAATTTTTTTAATTGTTTTGTTTAAAAATGTTTTTTTAAAAAAAAAAAATTACTGTGACAAATTAATTTTTATTTATTTATTTTTGTTAATTTTAAATAAATGGCCAAATAATAATCTAAGATTTTGGTCTAAAAAAATAATTTCTATATTTAAAAAATATAAAAAACAAATATAAATTTATTTTTGAATTGAATAGGTGGCAATTGCACAAAAGAAAAAATATTAAAAAAAAAAAACACTGTTCCGGTCAACCGGCCGAATGTCTGAGAGGATGTCCGGGCGAATGATCGGGTAGACCCAAAAATTCAAAAACTCTCTAGTTACCAAACATGTTTTCAAATGTAAGGTTGGAATCAATTTTTGAAAACTGTATCCAAACAGTGGGCTATAATCATAGGGTAGAATCATGATTCCAACCCTAAACCAAACAAAGCCAAACTTTTCTGTACTCACTGTCAAAAAATGGTGTTCATCAACCTGCTAGAAAATTCAATACCTACATGGTAGGACATGGAAAGCAAATTTCATGCATAATTTTATAGAACTAAACTTGATATAAGTATGGTGGATTTAGCTAAGTTTATACAAAAACAAGCTGAATCAGCATTACAGTATATCGACAGGTTTAAAAAAGTTAGAAATAGGTGCCGTGTTTATATGCTTGAAATAGACGTAATAAGGTTGGCTGAAAATAGCCTTGACTTTGAACTAAGAAAAAAGTTTGAGGGAATGGAATTTAGGAATCTATTTGAACTCTCATCTAGGGCAACCAATTAAGAGTCTACTCCTAGGGAAGAACAACAAAAGAGAGATGCTTCCTTAGGAACCTAAACAAGATATTGAATTTGAAACAGAGATGGACATAGATATTTCCCAGATAATTGGTAAAACACTAATGACCTGTGAGACTTTAAGAAAGGCAGAAAAACTAGTAAACATGCTTTCTATTCAGCCAGCTAGAAAAAATGTGTCAATAACCCATCGATGGTATTCCTTTGATCTTTCAATGGTAGATGATTTGTTTGATGAGTTGTTGGCTGGAAAAGTTTTAACCTTGTCCCCAGGCCACAATATCCCAAAGGAAAAGGATAGAGTTGGCAAAGAATACTGTAAATGGCATAATTCATTCAAGCATCCAATTAATAATTGTGTAACTTTTCGCAATTGCGTGCAAGACCTTATCCAGAAGGGAATGCTAAAATATGTTGAGAAAGACATGGAAGTCATGGTTGTCGATGGAAATC